ATCACTCTATTAATGACAGTTCTGAGTGATGACAAACTATAGAAGCACAGAAAAGTGCTGTTTGATGTAGCCAAACGTAGAATTTTACATAACATAACATCACGCCTTTTATCCCCGAAGGGATAGGCAGAGGTGCACACTACGGCACTTAATGCCACTGTACAATGTAACACCCACTTTTCACTATTTCTGTTATGAGTCCCATGTAATAGGGGGTGAGCCTATTGCCATACACCTGGCACATTTCCAGACTCCGTAGAATATTATATAACCATCATTCCTATTATAGGTATTATAGGTGTCCCTGAAGTTGATGACCAAATGGCATCAGGTGACCGGGAATCGGTTCCAACAGTTACCAGAAAAAAGGAGAAAAAATTTCAATCCATGTAGTTCTTTAAGTTTAAATTACAGTGATTTAACAACGAAAAAGTATACCCTGAGCCAGTCTTTTGACTCTTGTTGCTACGATTGTTTATTTTTTTGTCTGTATCTTTGCTTACGTTATGCTGAATAGTGCTTCAGTATTATGGAATCATAAATCTGGGCGAACTGCTGTAGTTTGGAAAACTGATAACATATAAATTATTGTAATTTAAAAACTACATGGATTGGAATTTTTTCTACATTTTTCTGATAACTGTTGGAACTTTGCCGACCACCTGGTTTCATTTGATAGTCGACTTCAGGGACAAATTGTATAAAGAATTAATACATAAAATACTATACAACTTATATGTATAAAACAAAAAATTGAATCCTGCAGAATGCATCGAAAACCTCCTTTACATTAATTTACGCCCAAATCGGGTATTGTCGGCCAAAATTAAGAACGAATCTCAACCCTATATCTTTGCGTTAAGATCGATTTTACAAGCTTATAAATTGTTATGAACGTATGTGATCCTGATTACTAGCTCCAAAATTAAGAACGAATCTCAACCCTATGACTTTGCGTTAAGATCGATTTTCCAACTTATAAATTGTTATGAACGTGTGATCATGATTACTGGCTCCATCCAGAGGTTATCTGTAAGAAATCGCATTCTGCGATAAGACCACCCATTGTACATTTTTTAAATATAAGGTACAGTCGCCTAATAAGACCCACTTTATTTCAAAACCTTGTATAATCTTGTAGATAAATAGTAGAAGAAATATATTGGAGGTTGTAATGTACTTATTTGACAACCAAGATATCGAAAAAAGTAATCATAACTGCATATTTTTTAAGTTGCCTGTCTCAGGAAGCGGGCCATCTTTGGCGAACATACCTTATATTAGCTACTGCCCGCGACTTCGTACGCGCAATCCCGTTTTCTCCCGTTCCCGTAGAATTTTCAGGATTTATTTCATCAACCGCTATTTTGTATACACGTTTAGGCTGCATGTCCAATGCTGTAATGCTAAGCTGTACATAGCTTGTTTAAAAAAAATATTTCACATTAACTTTCCGTCAAAAACAGAGACCGATCTTGAGATTTCGAATTGAAATCAGTTACTAATTTTGGCCGTACACATAATTACATATCTATATAACATCAAGCCTTTAATCCCCGAAGAGCAGTAGGCAGAGGTGCAAATATACAATACAACATTAATTTTCGCCTGTAATATCTCCAATTTTAATGTTTCTGGGACTTTTAAAGAGGTTATTGGCCGTTTCCACCAAGAATTACCCTGATAAACAATAGAAGAATTAACCGCTTTATTCAGGGGGTGAAATCATGCAATGATTTCTCTCGAGAATTAACCGCTTTATTCAGGGGGTGAAATCATGCAATGATTTCTCTCGCCCGGGTAAGGCGGGAGGGAGTGTCAGACTCTTACTGACTATAGTTTCAACTTCCCTCGGTGAATTACTGCAGGAGACAGAATGAATTAAGCCTAAAGGCAAAAAGAAGAGACTGTACAACTGGATGAAGCCCAGTCGCCAAGCACCTAGTGGGTCCTATGTGTGCCTATTGCCATCTTGTTATATTTAATATAAAATTCTTATATATTTGTTCATTATTTGGTCTGGCTAGCGAAAACAGTGGCTTAGTTAATAACGCATATACAGTACCAGGCGATATATTGCACATACATTTTGGAAAGAGACAATTGACAAGGCCCGAGTGAATAGGTTGCTTATGGGACGACGTGCTCCATCGTAGACCGCATCATCGTGCACCATCAGGCGAGATTGTGGGCAAAAGTCGGCCATCAATAATTATATATCGTATACAATTATATGAGGCGGAAGAGTTTGTTTTTTGTTTGTTTATTTCAACGCGCTAATCTCCGTAACTACAAGTCTGATTTGAATAATTATTTTTGTGTTGGATAGCGCATTTATCGAGGATGGGTATAGGCTATAAAACATCACACTACGACCAGTAGGAGCTGAGCAGAGCGTGCGACACCGCGCGGAAGTAGCTAGTTAATCAATACATAGTATAAAACAAAGTCGCTTTCGCTGTATGTCCGTATGTATGCTTAGATCTTTAAAACTACGCAACGGATTTTGATGCGGTTTTTTTTAATAGATAGAGTGATTCTTAAGGAAGGTTTGTATGTATATACATATTGCACCCGTGCGAAGCCGGGGCGGGTCGCTAGTTATATATAATTCACTCACACGACGAAACACAACGCATGCGTTGCTTGAAGTCGGTTTTCTGTGAGGCCATGGTATCACTCCGGTCGAGCCGGCCCATTCGTGCCGAAGCATGGCTCTCCCACACTTTACTAGTTGTTGCCCGCGATCGATATAAAACTTCGATTGTACCGTTGGCGCGGTGTTTGGCCAACTGGCTGCCACACAACGTGTCTCGGGGGAATCGATCCCGCACTGAACAATTTTTCGTGCGATCCCCAAAATATTGTTCCGTGTCTGTGTGTGATGTGTATGTGAACTTGTATGTTTGTAAACGCACACACGACACAGGAGAAATCTCTAGTCCGAGGCAAAGTTTTTACTAAAAAACATGCATTTTTTATGGAATAGGAGGCAAACGAGCAGACTAATCACCTGACGGTAAGCGATTACCGCGCATAGACACCCGGAACACCAAAGAAGTAATAGATGCGTAATTTATTGCCAGGTACTGTACATAACAGAACATAACATAATGCTCATATCTCAAAAGAGGTTCTTTTAAGCTGCAAAATCATCGAATGACTGCTCCCGCCTGGGTGAGGCGGGAGGAAGTGTCAGACTCTTACTGACTAAAAACCACCCCGTTCCTTCTCCTGCACGTCGAGCCGGAGCTCCGGTAACCCGTTAGGTTCTCCGCGACATCACAAAAGAGTAAGCAGAGTACTTATAGTACGTCAACATTTCACTAGTTTTGTTATAAATTCAAATTGTAAGTAAATCCATGTTCTAAATGCAAGTTTGAAGCATTATTTCATACTATAATTTTATTACAGTTTAATAAAAATTTAGACAAATCTTATTTGAAGAACATTGTCAAGCGATTTCGACCGTTATTTATATGAAGATAAGCCCCTTTGACACTGACTGAAGAAAGCTCGCTTTAGCTTTTCAGTAGTGTAAAAACTCAGTGACAATATTTAAAAACAAGATTTGCCAAAATTTATAGAAAATTTCAATCTATCTAACGCCCGAACACTGAAAGGCTACTAAATTTTAAATTGTACTTAAATATCATGCCGTCTTTGTCATTTTACAAAGAGTTTGTAGAGACAGAACTATTTAACTCGTCAAGAACCGTCATTATAGACACAATAGGCATGGCGACTATTTTTTAATTTTTTGTCCGTCTTTTAGATATTTTAAAAATCTTCGATACGTATTTTTTCGTTTTTCTCGTATCCAAAAAAATATATTAGTTAGGTACGATTTCTCCGTAAGTGTGACGTCAACACCCCCCACTCCCTAACTTTAATGCGGAATAACTACGTATTCTTCTGTTAATTTGATAAAACAAAAAATACGTGTCTGATATTTTCGTGCGATCTTAATGACGGACTAATTACTTTTTTGATTTTTTTACCCTGTCGACACGCCTATTATAGAACAATAGGTTGCGGTCACCGGTTACAGCTTGGTGTTTGACAGTTTACATACTTAAGCGCGACTTAATATTGAGTAGCGTTTGAGTGTTTCAGCGTAAAACTATAACATTTCCTTTATACATGTATAAATAACAACATAACATAGCATCACGCCTTTTATCCCGGAAGGGGTAGGCAGAGGTGCACACTACGGCACTTAATGCCACTGTACAATGTAACACCCAATTTTCACTATTTTATTATTATATTAATACCGGGCACAAATACAGACTCCGTGCAACCACCGAGAATCTTTAAAAATCCAGTAATACTTTGCCCGACCCGGCTATCGAACCCGACGCCTCTTGCTCGGCAGTCGCACTTGCGACCACTCGGCCAACGAGGCAGCAGTTATTATTATCAATTATAGTTGTACTTGTATAAATGGTAATAGGCTCACCCCCTATTACATGGGACTCATAACATAAATAGTGAAAAGTGGGTGTTACATTGTAGTGGCATTAAGTGCCGAAATGTGCACCTCTGCCTACCCCTTCCGGGATAAAAGGCGTGATGCTATGTTATGTTATGATAATAATAAAAAACAAAGTTATACAGGTAATAATATACATAATTTTATACAAAAAATATAACTTAAACATAAATAAACATAATGTTTTAAATTCTTAGATAAAGACAGAATTTTACTTATAAACAACTACTTTCGCCATGTTGTGCACGACAAAAATTTCAAGGTCTATATATCCCATTTTTAAAGGAGGGCGAATCTATTTAAGGTATTATAACAAAACGTAATGTTATAAAGTTTTATTATGTTTTCGGCTTACTCACGTAATAATTTGACGAGGAACTCGACTAGTTTCAAGCCACTGTCGAGTATTGCGCTGCTATTGTCACGCGCCGCGTCGCGGGTCGCGAAATGCTGCTCATGAATATGAGCCTCTAGCATGGCTTGAAACTAGTCGAGTTTCTCGCCAAATTACTACGTAAGTCGAAAACATAATAATTTATTTACTATGTCTCACGGAAGTTCAATACAAATATGTTATAAAACACTAAAAACGCTTTGCCCTCCTCAGGAATCAAAGGTAGTGACGAAAACTTAATAATTAGAAAACAAAAAAAAATAATATTGTATTTGAGATATCTTTAAAAAAATTAAGCTAAAACAATTAAACTTATAATTAAAATAATACATAAGGTACATGTACAGTTACATCGTAGTTCTAATCAAATCCATAATTTATTGTGTAAAAAAATAAACTAGTAATATGGTTTTACAAATTAATTGTTCCAAGTATGTATGCAGATGGCGCTTGCGATGTGTTTAGGAATACAGTGAAATAGACTGGTTATTTTTTTTTTAATATTTAACATTATCTTTGTGACATAACAGCGAAAATTAACCTCTGGGTCAAGCGTTATTTTTATTGTAATTCAGTACTAATCGGAACTCACTTAGTTTACTTTTATAAAATTGTGTAAAAATAGTATGTACTTTGTATTTCATTTACAGAGTGCAACATACGTTAAGCTACAAACGCTCACCGCTAGATGGCGCTATCTACAACTACTGTACTCTCTCGATTTACATGTAAATGCATATTTTTCGTTTTTTGTGGACTTTTAATAAAAGCAGGGTTTGTCCGCGAGTATCTCGCTATTGCAGCATCGCAGTTTTCAGAAGTGTTTGATATACTTAGGAAGGTTTTAGTACATTAATTTACCTTAGTTACCTCATTTGTAAAATACTAGTTTATTGGAGCCTATTATGTGTTATTGTATCTTTCTTTTAAATTTGCATGCCTTTAAGGTAGAATATGGTTAATGGACACTTTTTGGTATAAGACCTTTTTTTTGTACCCATGTTCGCAAATGAATAAATGATTTGATTTGATTTGATTTAATTAACCGACTTCAAAAAAGAGGGGGTTGAAATCAATTTTTTAAACGTGCTTTATAAAAGAATTATTATATATTTCTTTCTATATCCTACAAAACATCGCAAGCGCTCTACCAACATTAGAAAAACAACAACAGCTAGGTACAATACTACCAACTTAACTGTCAAGTCCGTGGTGCTTGCGTTTGATTCTCGCGTAGGGTCCGATGTCGGGGTCCATAACGAAATCATAGAGTACCTTGGACCAGCTATCGTGATGTGGCAATGTGTCGTAGAATTCCGGCGCGATACGGCGTACCTGCGTCAAAAATGGTGTTATTATAGTTGCTTGTGAAGGATTTTCCACCTTATATCAGGTAAGAATATGGTCCAAAATTTTGGTTTTAAGTCAGTGGTGTTTTTTATGGTATAGAGGGGCACATATTGGGTAGATTCCAGGGTATCAAAATTAAAAATGTAATTAATCCGTCGGTTACATAATGAAAAAATATTAGACACGTTTTTTTATTTTCTCGTATTAAGTTGCAATACTTAGATAAAATGGCGCTAAGTTTAGGAGTGGGAGATCGTTACGTCATAACGTGCTACAAAATGTGGCACGCTGTGACGTCACACGATATTTAAAAATAATATATCATTGAAAGTATTTAATTTTGTAAGAAAAGAAAAAGTACGTGTCTAAAGTTTTAAATTAATGTACCAGACGGACATTAAAATAAAATTTAGGAAACTACCCTATTGGCCTATTCGTGCCGAAGCATGGCTCTCCCAAAATTTGTAAACCACGCCATCTAACGATCTACCCACGAACTAAACTTCATTAAGCTTCGATGTCTAACCAACAGATGTCACCAACATCAGACTAAGCTTACCTCGGGTAGTTTACTGCCAGGTACCGCCGGGAAATCGTGATGCTCGTTATGGTAACCCACGTTGAATGTAATCCAGTTCAGAGGTCCATAATACGAGTAGGTCTCATAGCCTTTCTTAAACATGTAGTGTTCGGCAACGAAGTGGCCTATAAACAGAGAAATCAAACATAACATCACGCCTTTCTTCCCCGAAGAGGGAGACTGAGGTGCACATTACGGCACTTAAATGCCACTGTACAATGTAACACCCACTTATCACTATTTATGTTATGAGTCCCATGTAATAGGTAGTGAGCCTATTGCCATATCAGACCCGGGAATCGAACCCGAAACCTCTTGCCCGGCAGTCGCACTTGCAACCACTCGGCCAACGAGGCAGTGGGTAAACTTAAATATATTACAACTTCATTATGGGTTCCTAATAACCAGTCTGGTGCAACATATAAAAAATCATCAAAAAAGAATCAAGCTTTAAATGAAACATGATCATGATCAATACATAGTATAAAACAAAGTCGCTTTCGCTGTATGTCCGTATGTATGCTTAGATCTTTAAAACTACGCAACGGATTTTTAATGCGGTTTTTTTAAAAGATAGAGTGATTCTTAAGGAAGGTTTGTATGTATAATACATGCATATTGCACCCGTGCGAAGCCGGGGCGGGTCGCTAGTTTAAAATAAAAGAGTTTTTCATAATTTAATTTAATTATATTTAATTTATTACATACATAACATCACGCCTTTTATCCCCGAAGGGGTAGGCAGAGAAATACATTGCGATACTTCATGTTGCACCCTCTTTTCACTATTTATGTTATGAGTCCCATGTAATAAGGGGTGAGTCTATTGCCATATACCGGGCACAGTTCCAGACTCCGTGTTACCACTGAGGTTTTTTAAAAACCCCAATAACACTTTGCCCGACCTAGGAATCGAACCCGAGACCCCTTGTCACCCATTCGCACCTGGGACCACTCGGCCTACGAGGCAGTCGTCAGTTCATTTAATTTATTAATTAGTAATTGTAACTCACCAGCTACAGGGTGAACTCCCATCGCCATTACAGCGCCAAGCAGTAGGTAGCCGAGCGCTTTCCAACCTGAAACCAATTCAGTATTCAAACATTAATAGAATACATATATATACACTGGGGACTGCACGGTTGGTGCGGTGGCTGGGCAACCGGCTGCCGTGCAACGTGTCGCGGGTTCGATTCCCGCACGGGACAACACTTTGTGTGATCCACAAATTGTTGTTTCGGGTCTGGGTGTCATTGTGTATGTGAACTTGTATGTTTGTAAACGCACCCACGACACAGGAGAAAATCCTAGTGTGAGCCACGTTATTTAAAAAAAAAACAAAAAAAGAGGGGCACAAATTAGCTGATGGATCACATAATGGCAAGCTATAAGCGTCGCGGCGTCGCGCACCAGCTGCTGTAGCCAAATGCCATCCAGCGCTTGTCTACATGTAGAATAGAAAACTAAATTATATGGAATTGACGTAAATTTTGACACTTGTCAGTGTCATCCCCATACATTTTGATTTCTACTCTCTCTGTAGACAAGCGCTAAAGTGGCGTTTGGCTAAAGGCCCTGTGGTACAATTAAACCAACCTTGGAGACTAGGTTGCCAAAGAAAAAAAAAACAACCAGTCAGCTAAATGTCTGTCCAAGCTCTGTCCAATCACATTAGCTGTCAAATATTGAACGTCCAATCGTGGGACACTAGCTGATTCCCTATTGGACGAAGAACGAGAGGTTAACGCTAGCGCCATCTGTTGGGCAGTATTAGGTTAAGCACCATTGTACCGACCGAAAGCTTTTAGAAAAACGTGTATGTTGGTAAACCTGTTAAAAGTATGATGACATCCTACTAATATTATTAATCTTTGTTTTTTTATGGCATAAGCCGGTAAACGAGCAGACGGATCACCTGATGGTAAGCAATCGGCGTCGCCCATGGACACCTGGAACACCAGAGGCGTTACAAGTGCGTTTCCGGCCTTTTGGGGATTAGGAGTTTGATCATCGTTGGGGATTTAGGAATAGGGGAGATTGAGGAAGGGGAGGGTAATTGGGCCTCCGGTAACCTCACTCACACGACGAAACACAACTCAAGCGTTGTTTCACGTCGGTTTTCTGTGAGGCCGTGGTATCACTCCGGTCGAGCTGGGCCATTCGTGCCGAAGCATGGCTCTCCCACACTTGTTTGTAAGGCTCTTACCTTAAAACGGCTGAATGGACCGGAATGAAATGAAGCAGGGGTATATTATGGTCTAAAAAACCTAGGTTACTTTTAACCCACAGGCACGCGGACGGAGCGTTTGACAGAATCTAGTATTAAAATATGTGTATAACTCACCCCAAAGTTTAATAATAACGGCGTCAAAGAACAGTTGTATCACCAGGTTGATGAGTTCCATCGGTGTCGGGGCCTTAGGCCGGACCACTAAAGGTCGGAAGCTGTAGAAGAACGGCTGGAGGAACAGCCAGAGCAGCTTGCCGCCGGTGGTGCAGAATAACTTGGCTTCGATCAATGTTGGGAGGTCCGTGTCTATGACTTCATCTCCTTGGTACTGGAAAGATATAAGTTGTCAATTAAATAAAAATCGCGGGTTAATCACGTGAATATAAGGAGTAGGCTGCGCGAAATCGCCGCGACCGCGCACGCTGCTCAAAGTCAAAGTCAAAATCATTTATTTCAATTAGACCAGGAACGCACTTTTGAACGTCAACAACAAAAAATTTAGAAGTATTTGCTCATTCCAAGGTGTAGATTCCTATGTAGAAGAACGAGCAAGAAACTCCATAGGTTACTCTTTTTCAATCGGGTTTACAATACAATTCTCTAGTTATACAAAAAAATCTAGTATGAGGCCATGATTTTATTTCATACATACTTTGACCGGCACTAAAATCGAACTTGAAACCCCTTGCTAGGCAGTCTCGCAAGCGATCACATGATCAATGAGGCGGGATAAAAATTTGACAAATAAAATTAAATGACAACTTACCCTATGGTGTTCCAAGTGATACTTTTTAAAGCTTATTGACACCGGCAGCCCTATAGGTAGGTTCGCAAAGAATCCAAATAATTTGTTCGCTAAAGGCCGATTATGACCGAACGCTAGGTTGTGTGCGATTTCGTGGATAGCTGTAACAAAGAAAAAAAATACGTTAAAATCATTATAATACCTTTCACTATATGTATAGCGACTTCATTTCATTCATTTATTTTGTTTCAAGTCAAAGTCAAAATCATTTATTTCAATTAGACAAGAAAGGCACTTTTAAACGTCAACAAAATATTTTAAAAGTGAAGCTATTTGCTCATTCCAAGGTGTAGATTCCTATGGAGAAGAACGAGCAAGAAACTCCATAGGTTACTCTTTTTCAATCAGGTTTACAATACAATTTACTAGTTACATAGTTTCGTTCGCTCGATTGTGTGAGAACAATGTAACCCTAAAATCCAGTCAAAGAGATCGATCACCCCATTTGGCCCAAACACCAAGTAGCTACTGTCAGCCGTTGAGGAGTTCCCTTAGCTATCATACTCCTTCATCATCAGGTCCCTAATGATAATCATACCCCATTAAGGTGTAAATTTCACATCAATTGAAATTAATCAAGCCCAAACACGAGGTAGCTACTGTCAGCCGTTAAGGAGTTCCCCTAACTATCATACTACTTCATCATCAGTCCCCTAATGACAGTCATACATATCCCATTTAGGTGTAAAGTTCTCATCACTAAAAAAAAGATCTTCTCAATACAAATTATTTAAGCCCAAACACGGGGTCATTGCTACAAATTCTCGAGGAGTTTCCTCGGCTGTCTCTTGACTCCATCATCAGATCAACTTCGTACCTTCATCAAATTGTAGTAGTTTCAAATACTATATCAAAAAATAACAAACGCTCTCGCCACCCATACAATTTTGAATAGTAACCCTCGGCTTCCATAGGATCCCATCATCAGATCCTGACCTGGTGGCCATTCCGAGAGTATGACCTTTCCAAAAAAAAAAGAATCATCTAAATCCATCCCCAAACGCCGGAATAATCGCGTAACATACACACAAGAAAATAAATACATACAGCCGAATTGATAACCTCCTCCTTTTTGGGAAGTCTGTCGAAAACAACCCATGTTTATAAGCGTGGGAGAGTCATGCTTCGACACGAATGTGCCGGCTCGACCGGAGTGATACCACGGCCTAGCAGAAATCCGACGTGAAGCAACGCTTGCGTTGTGTTTCGTCGTGTGAGTGACGTTACCAGAGGCCCAATTGCCCTCCCCTTCCCCAATCTCCCCAATCCTTGAGTCCCCATCCTAACTCCTAATCCCCAAAAGGCCGGTAACGCACTTGTAACGCCTCTGGTGTTCCAGGTGTCCATGGGCGACGCCGATTGCTTACCATCAGGTGATCCATCTGCTCGTTTACCGGCTTATTGCATATAAAAAAAAAAAATGTACATCGTCGTAAGAAACAGGTCGTAAAACATATTACATTACAGCCTCAGTGATAATAGATAAGGTAGACTAACACAAAACCTTGAACTGACTTACGTAGGAATGTCACATGAAATTATACCTAAGTACGTATACTAATCAATTAGAGTGCAAGATGAGAGGACAAACGAGGATAAGTGCGGAAATTTTTACAACTACCATAATAGCCATAATGGCGGCGAAAGATAACATAACATCACGCCTTTTTGTCCCCGTAGGGGTGGGAGGTAGACATTACGGCACTTAATGCCGATGTACAATGTAACACCCACTTTTCACTATTTATGTTATGAGTCCCATGTAATAAAGGGTTAGTCTATTACCATATACCGGGCATCTCACCCAGGCGGGAGCAGTAATTCGATGATTTTCCCCACTTAAAAAAAAAAACCCGGGCACAATTCCAGACTCCGTGCTGCAATTGAGATATTTTTAAAACTCAGTAACATTTTGCTTGACCCGGGAATCGAACCCGAGACCCCTTGCCTGGCAGTCTTGCAACCACTCGGCCAACAAGGCAGTCATTATTATTAAGATATTATGTAAGAAATTGTTTCTTTTAAAGTTTCGAGAATGTGTAGAAATACATTAGTCATTAGCTTAGGTTAAATACAAAGAGCCATTAGACCACCACGGATGGGGCTCATGGGGCCCAATAGGGCTGATGCCGATACGGAGTCGCGGAGAACGTAAATGGTTACCGGGACTCCGGCTCGTAGTGCAGGAGTAGGAACGGGGTGGTTTTTAGTCAGTAGACAAGTCCGCGGCTCCGTATCGGCATCAGCCCTATTGGGCCCCATCCGTGGTGGTCTGATGTTTCTTTAAGGTGCGCGGAACGCGACGCGACGTACACTCGGGTGATTTTATCAGTCTAGGAAATACATACATACATAAATAACTTCTCTTCTCTCCCTGGGTAAGCAGAGACTATGGAACGCCAATTACGACGATCCCTACATACGTCTTTCGCTTCATCAACAGTCATCAATCTTTTCATGCATGCTCGTCGGTTAAGGGTACTTTTAATTTGGCCCTTCTTTGTTATATCGCCAATCAGAAAATGTAGACAGATAAACATGAAATGCTTAGCTCAGTAGCGCATCCAACAGGTAAGTTATCTAGGGTATCGCATCGCAGTAGGGCATCGCATTATGTATATATAGAGTATAATAAAAACCGTTTAACTCGTCAACTACCGTCATTATAGACACAATTATAGAACAATAGGTTGCGGTCACCGGTGTCCTCGCGGTGTTTGACAGTTTAACTGTGCTTACGTGACGAGTGGCCTTGTGGATCAATTAATTACTGTTAAATATACTAGAGGTACCTATTCATTTTATTACAAATACTACCTAGAGTTTACGAACGAACACGTACGCTGGTAATACACATAATGATTTCATTCGACTGCCTCATTGCCCGAGTGGTCGCAAGTACGACTGCCGGGCAAGGGGTCTCGGGTCCGGGTAGGGCAAATTATATTATTGGGTTTTTCAGTAGTAGCATGGAGTCTGGAAATATATGGGAATATGGTATATGGCAATAGGCTCACCCCCTATTACATGGGACTCATAACATAAAGAGTGCAAAGTGGATGTTACATTGCGCAGTAGCATAAAGTGATGTAATGTGGGCATTGGGCTACCTCATCACCTCTGCACATTGGGCTATCGCATTCTTCTTTACCACGGGACGTTAAACTGTCAAACACCAACCGGTCACCGGTGACCGCAACCTATTGTTCTATAATTGTGTCTATAATGACGGTACTTGACGAGTTAATGTAGTGTGAGCTCAGACGTCTATTTGTCCAATAAATAAATAGCTATTGTTAGCTTAAATTTTCGAGGTATTCCACTTAGCACGCCCGTAAGGGGGCTTCAAATAAAATATTTAAAATTATTAATTTCCCATTCCACGAAGCACACCTATGATTATCACTCGCATAGTGCGAAGACTAAGAAATAAAAATATGTATAGAAGAAAATATTTAGCTCTCACATCACCTAGGGCGGGTGGACATTGGATGATGATCCCCCCTTAAAAAAGAGGGTATCACCCTATGTTCTAACTGTAAGCCATGTAAGTATGATAATATTACAAATTTTCTTAAACATAATATAGGCATACCTCGACCAGCGGAGTAATTGGTTTACATAAACACGTAGTATAGTATGCTAATGTAAACTTTATAAATAGGTAATGGGGATGATGACAGGGTATGAAAATTAAAAATATAATTAGTCCGTAACTTAGGTCAGAGCTGTCCAAACAAACGCCCGCGGGCCGCATGCGGCCCGTGGCTTGTTTTCATGTGGCCCGCGACACACATTTTAATCTCAACATCTTCTTCTGTGCAACAACAATAATAAAATTCAGTGTATGATTTGTATACAAGTTTTGTCTGTGAGTAAAGAATACAATGTTAAACGTCATTATACAACTGAAAATATTTTTCCGGCCCTCCAGCTTTTGTAAGAAATTTAATTAGCCCGCGAGGGTATATAGTTTGGACAGCCCTGACTTAGGTAATAAAAAAATATTAGACACGTATTTTTTTATTTTGTTGTATAATAAAACAATACTTAGATAAAACGAATCAAAGTTTAGTAGTGGGGGCTAAAACGTCATTTCTTAGTATAAAATGTACTGAGAAGTGACGTCACGCGACATTTCAAATCAATATATCTTCGAAACTATTCGTTTCTGTAAGAAAATAAAAAATACGTGTCTAATGTTTTTAAATAATCTACCAGACGGACATTAAAATAAAAATTAGTCGTCTACCC